TTGAACAATGAGAACACATTGTTCAACACCCGCCTATGAGTGAGAACATGCGGTGTTTGATTTTCTGTTCTTGTGTCAGTTTGCTGAGAATGATGGTTTCCAGGTTCATCCATGTCCCTACAAAGGACACAAACTCATCGTTTTTAATGGCTGCATAATATTCCATGGTGTATATGTGCCACATTTTCCCTGTCCAGTCTATCATCGATGGTCATTTGGGTTGGTTCCAGGTCTTTGCTATTGTAAACAGTGCTGCAATGAACATTCGTGTACATGTGTCCTTATCATAGAAGGATTTATAATCCTTTGGATATATACCCAGTAATGGGATTGCTGGGTCAAATGGAATTTCTAGATGTTTTCCTATATTTGCAAACAATTTTTGTATAAAATGAAAGTGATTTTTTTTTTCAGTTCACAAAGCCTCTTGAGAATATCAACATTAAGGCTTTTCTTTAACATTTTATAGTGATTTGCAAGTTACATATATTTTTTATTTTACTTGAATCTCTTTCGCTTCTCAATCCACACATCTAAATCTACGTGTCTCTAATTCTCGAGAACTTTTAAGATTGACAATATGTGTAGTAAAGAATTTGGTATGTTTTTACTTCTCCTATTCTCTACCTGTTTTACATCTTACTTGCTGTTAACTGACCTGGGATACTAGAAAATTTTTTTAATTATGTGACTAATTTTATAATATGCCATTGTTTTTTAAAGAACCATATTGACTTGTGCAGTTATATTTCTAATTAATATTTATAAGCAGTGTATATCACTCTATATACTATTTGTTTTAATATTTACTGTAGATCTTTTTCATTCTTAAGTTGTTTTAAGTTTTCACCTCTATCAGTTGAAGTACACCTTTACTTTGTTTAATTTTAGTAAATATATTCAAGAGTTCCATTTTTTTGACTGCTTGCATTGTGAGAATTGTTTTTATTGCTTAACACATAATACTACTCAATTAGGGTATAAGAGTCTTATAATACATCCCAGATACATTACTTAGAAAACTACAAAGAATCAACTGGAATATTATTAGAACCAAGGTGGAAGTTTCGCCATGTGGTTGGTTCTGACATAAGTGTGCATCTACAGCCTTTCCTAAACCACAGAAATTGTTTGTTGAGAAGCGTTAAATGACGACACCATAGATATGATGTATTTTTAATTCCTTTTTATTTTCCCCCCAAATTTTGCCTTCAAACATGGTGAATTGCCCATCTGTATCTTTCAATAACATCTTAAGCAAACTCTACTGTGTTTTCTGTGTTAACATGTATCTAGATTAAAGATTCAATCATAAACTTTATTTAAATGACTTTTCTCTTCCCAACACAGGTCTGATCCGTGGTGCTAAGGATCTGAAGTGTGAAGTAAGACCTGGTTAGTTCTTTTAATTACATTCTTCCTTCTGATCTATGTATAGCTTTTTAGGCTTGGAGCCAGCTATGCTAAAACTGCAGAAGGTGGTTCCAGGCTTAAGGGACTAGCAAACAAAAATGTTCGGATGAGGTGAAAAGTTTGGTGTGGTTCTAGAAACTATTAAAGGCCAAATAAATTTGAGGTTAGTTTTATAAGGGCCCAAAGGCTTGAGATGTGATTGAAAGGTTAGGTGGAAACCAGATCATGAAGATTTTTGAAAGCCATAAAGAGACTTGAGATTTTATTCCAACCACAATGGAAACCCACCTGAAGTTTTCGAACAAGGGAGTCACTGGTAATCTAATTTATATCTTTAAAAGACTTATCTGGCCATTGCGAGGCGAATGGTCTGTGAAGGGCAAGAGTAGAAGAAGGAGGGCTAGTTAGAGAAGGATGGTGAAGGTCCAAGCAGGAGGTGTCAGTGGCCTGGATGAGAGTGGTGTAAAAAGAGATGACGATGCATAAAATTTTAATATCCGGACGACAGGATCTTCTGATAGTTTAGACACTGCGTGAGAGAGAGAGAGAGTACTGAATGACTGCAGATATTTGACCTGAGCAACTTGATGAACAGTGGTGCCTTTGACAGAGAGGGAACATACTAGAGGAAAAAGAGCCAATATGATTAAAATAAGAACTCAAGGGTTTGGTTTTAGACACATTTGCCAAGATTCCTGCTACGTCAAAGTGGAAATGTTAGATAAGCAGTTATACATACAGGTCTAGAGCTCTGGGCTAGAGACATAAATGCAGAGCCATCAGCGTATATGTGTGGGGATAGGTGGCATATAAAGCCACGGGAACCAAAGCAATCACCAAACAAGTGGGTGAACACATAGAAAAGAAGGGATACAATGGCTAAGCTTAGTGAGACATCAGTCTTTGGAGGCTGAGAAGATGAAGGGGAAGGAGCAATGGAGACCGACCGGGGATGGCCAGTACAATGGGAGCAGAACTAGTGTGGTGTCCTGGGAGTCAGATTTAGAAACACTTTAGAAAGTGTTTAGAAAGTTTAGAAATACTCTAAAAGGTGTTTCAAGAATTGTGTCAATCTCTTCTTTAGCTCCCATAATTTTTTGGCTTTATTTCAGATGGGCAGATTATTGGCAACAGCAAAACAATAATTATTTTTCTCTGTTTCAATACCAAAACTATTTTTAGATGGAGACTTTTCTTTTGTATTTTCTGACAGATACTCCCTTTCCCTTATGTGATTACTTTTTTCTGGATGCCATGTGGACATGCCTCCCCTTCTCACATACAGTATAGCCATATCATACGCACATATAACTCACGTGATTCCAACTACATGCACTTGAGAGAGAGAGAGAGAAAGAGAGAACATTACAATGTCATAGGTGATACCACTTGCCACTCAATACATATGTCCAAGAATAGAGACATAGATCTGAACCTGATGTTCTTCTGGGGTTATGCCCACAAAGTAATGCTTTCTGAACCTATAGGTGGATTGTGAGATTTTTCAACATATTTTAGTTATATATAACATTTGCCTTATATGCTGAATCTAATCTTATGTTGGGTACAATTCTACCCTACCTAAGCTGGAGTGGGGTGCAAGCTGCCCAGCGTTAACTTTGTTCACAGAAAGGATGTGTGCAATGTTCTTAACTCTGGTCCACAGGGGTCCTGGCAGGTCACTCTCATGTCTATTTCCTCACCATCCGGCACTTAGGCATCTTCTGAGGTCTGCATGACTGAGGTGGAGTTTTCTTTATCCCACCCTCAATTTCCTTGCTACATTAGATTTCATGAGTTTTCTCTTGGTCCCTAACATAGTCAGAACATCTCTGTTGGTGGTTACTGTTTCACATACAAACTATTTTGTCAGAGCTCCGCCTTCTTCCTCAACAACAGTGTTTCTATTGAGATGACCACTTAGCCCAAGACAGGACTGTTAATGGGTCTTTTTGGTTAGTTAGTTGGTTTTATTTTTATTTTATTGTTTTAAATGATTTCAAACAGTCCCAGTTATTTCTGGTTTTAGCAACATAACAAATATTTTTTTTAGGAAAAAAAATAGATACCCACTTAAATATGTGATATGAGGTAAACACACCATGATCTTCTTAGGAACATAGCAGGTCTCTGAGGCACAATTTTCCCAGGTGGATAAAGCTGAGTACTGTTCCTTTTAATCTATATCTACTTGTAGCAACAGATTTCCATTGAGGGCCAAAGAGTCATCTAGAAGGAGAGAAATGATAGCTTTGAGGCTCTGGGTTATTAGAGGATATCTGATGGCCAGGTGTTGTTCTGGATGAGGCCAACGGATGAGAGGGGCTCCCGAGGGAGTTGGATTTAGGCTTAACGCCAGGGCCTTGTTGTTGGTGGGGTGAGCTGTTTCTAGCAAAGCAGGTTCTGTGACCACACCCCCTGCCCCCCCTACCCTGAAACCAGTGTCCAGGCACCATGATGTGCCCTGGAGAAAATGTCTGAGCCTGAGTGTAAAGTGATAGAATTATACCTTAGAATTTGGGCCAGGCGTGGTGTGCAGCAGCCATAGATGAGAATAAGTCTGAGAGGAAAAGCAGCTTCTTCCTCACCCTGGATTCCGAAGTAAGGCCAGGTGCTCTTCAGTTCCTTGGGGCTTGCAGCCTTGCCCTAGAATATTTGCCTGCTGACCACACCAGGCACTGGCAATAGTGGTAGAGAAAGCACTCCCCCCTTTCCTCCTCTGCAAAGTGTTATTAAGCACCACGGATCCCCTTCCACTTAGAGTGCATTTGAAGCACCTGCAGAGGGAGAGCCCTCTCGTGACCAGTGGAACAAAGGCTTGAAGTCGATAGGATTTGAACATTAGAAACGAGACATTATTTTTCACCACAAGCTGGTGAAGTGAGTCTTATCTTCATCAGAATTTTTATGTAAAATTTGGAGACTGCCCATCAGGAAAGCTACATTGTGAACGCCAAGGTAGTGTTATTTCCCTTAACAATGATGGGGTAGAACTTACGGGAAGCAGAATGCAATTAAAACTCATATCCGATATTCTACTGCTCAGCTGATGTCTTATTAAAAATGTGTGCTTGTGGCCAAGGAAGTAGGAGGTGCGCTCTCAGCTGTCAGGCAGAGAAGAGAGAGCCGTGCCCTGGATCCATGTTTAAAGGCCTGCACACTCAGATCCCCAGTCCATGAGGAGGGAGCCGTTTACATCCTCTTCCCACATGACAATCAAAATCACACCACAGACTTCATTTTTCTCACTTCTCCTACACAAGGGCTCATGGTTGGGCATAAGATAATGAGGACAGGCTCTGTCACCCACAGTGTGGCAAGATAAGATGTAGCATAGTCAGAAGAAATTATTTTAGGGCCCCCTCCCCCAGAATTTTCACTGGTGACTCAATTCATCCTCTATGTGGCTAAATGGGTGATATCAGATATGGGATCCTCAGATGCCCTAAGTTTTAATTCTGGCTCTACCACTGACTTCATTTCTGTAATAGGTATACTATCAAATGTCTCCATGCCCCTGTCTCCTTGAAGGGAAAACTCACTTCACCAAATTATAAGAACACCAAATCATTGTGAAGTCCTCTGTCAAGTTGAGATTTGCATCATTCTTCAAACTGCCCAGCCTCAGCCCCTGTGATGTTTTATGAACTGTGGCTCTCTGTAAATTAAGATTTAACGAGACATATTGCAGGAATGTTTTAAAATATTACTCATTTTAGTAGCATTTATAATTATGGCTGCTAGATCTTTCTTGGCATTCATTGTATTAAACCTCAATGGCTCTATCAAGTAATGGATTTTGGAGGTGGCCAGTAAAACTCATTCAATACCTCCTAAGTTTTCATTGTCTTTAATTCTGTCTTCAATAAGACATAATTATTAGTCTTGAAGACAACCATTGTATGTTTCACATAGGAATTGAAAAATGCTTAGTGACACTGAAGATAATAGAAAATCTAAGCCACAAAAGAATGAACAGTGGGCTAATGGCATTTAACTACAGGAGAAGAAGAAGGAGAGAAGAAGAGGAGGAAGAGAAAGAGGACAGGAGAGGGAGGAGGAGAGGGGGGGAGGGGGAAGGGGGAGGGAAAGAAGAAACTAAGGAACACACAGGAACTAAGCAGTTACTCTTTGGACCAACAATAAACATAAAGGTCGAATACAGAATATTTTCCTTCTTCCTGTGCCTCACTTTGCTTATCTGGTAAATAGGGATAACGACTAAAATCAACTTCACTTAGCAGAGATTTATATCTTTGCAGAATTTATAACTATTGTTAGTATTCACTCACTAACTATGATACAGTAAGTGCTCATTAGGTGTATACATACATAGCTTTCCAGAAAAATAAAATGCCTTCATTTCTTCCTGAATGATTCAACCTATAGAATGCATCTGTTTGTGGGTTATATTTCGTTTGTCTACAATGAAGTTAGAAATGTTTATTAATTGCAGTAATGTCAGAATTTTTTAAAACAGAAACCTCTTTATTGCAGTACTTACATGTAGGACTATTAGCTACAATAAATTCATGAGGAATTTGTAGATAAAGATTTAAGAGCTAAATATTAAAATTCCATGTAGTCACTAAATATTCCCAAAGAAATGGAAATATCTGGGAAGTATATAACCATGCTTTTTGGCCTTTATTTGACTATAAAAGAGGTGACTTAAATGACCATTAAATTACATTCCCAGAGAGTTTATGTACAAATCAAATGATAACAGATTATACATTGACTGGTGCAAATTGCTTCCCCAAGTGAATATTAACATAGGGTCACAATTCTTGAACCATAACCCAGGTGGGCCAAACTTTGGGATCTGTTGCATTTTTAAAATGGTAATGTGAGCACAGACTGTGTATTGTGTGACACCTCCATTGGGGGTTGGAGGAAGCATTCAAACACATTAAAATTTTCTTCAGTAAAACATGAAAATATTCACACTAAGTAAGATAAACACTATTAAATCATTCCAC